GGAGTTCTAAAAGCTTCTTGTATCTGAATAGGCCTATCTTTTTGCATGTTTGGGAAGTTCTCTGCTAGGATCCTGTTAAACAAATTTCCTAGACCATTAACTTCTGTTTCTAGGTGCTCCTCTACACCCATTATCCTCACATTAGGCCTTTTGATGGTTTCTTCCAAGTGTTGAATAGATCTATCATATTTCTTGGATTTGTCTTGGATGATTGTATGTTCTTTCTCTATAATAACTAGGCTGTCTTCAATCCCTGAAATTCGATCTTCTACATGGTCTAACCTACTGTCAAGACTTTCTACTTTGTTTTTTATTTCTTTTCCTTCTAGTTGGTCGGTTTTGATGGCTTCAAATTCTTTGTTGGAGCTTTGTTTTAGATATTGTATGAACTTCTTTACTTCTCAAATCACTTAGTTGGTTGGTTATGGTTTCCTTGGACTATCATTCTTTCTGTTGGGTTCCATTCAGCATTCCCTTTGTGGCCTCCCTGACTTCTTTCAGCCTGTAGTGATCTTTGTGTATTCTTACCCTGCTCTCTCAATTTCTGTATTACTCTTTGATTAGCCTCCTAACATTCATGCCATTCCTGTAGTTCTCTTTGAGTATTCTCAGCCTGCTCACACCATTCCTGACTTTCTCTTTGTCTGTTCTTGGCCAGCTCCTGTAATTTCTGTCTCTGTTTGACTGATCTCAGCCTGATGATGTCATTCCTTTATTTCTCTCTGAGTGTTCTCAAGCTGCTCATGCAATTTCTGTATCAATCTTTGAGTAGCTTCCTCACGTTCATGATATTCCTGTATTGACCTTGGTTTGCCTCCTCTCTCTCCCTATTACGCTCACACAGAGTCCTTTGCAGGTTTTCAATCTTTTCATTTACCAATCTTTTCATGTTTACCAATAGTGTTTGTAGAGCCTTTTGGGAACTCTGCTCTGGATTATTCATTATCTGTTCTGTCCCCTGATTATCATGAGTGGGAGTTGAGGTACCCAGACTTGCCATTTTTCTTGTGTTTTTCTGGCTTGCTCTGTCCATTTGGGATGAAAGTAACACCAGTTTTGTGCTAGAACACTATCTTAAGGCAAGCATCAACCAAAGTCTGTAGTTGCACAGTCAAAAGTCTGCAGATACAATCTAGTTCAACAGAAATATCTATTCAACATCAAACAACTATGCATTAATGGGCTATAAACCGCAAAGAAGAATTTGGCAAACCAGAAATTATTAGGTTTAGGGAGAGATGTGGGTAAAAATAAGAATAGAGGGCTGTGGAAAGGCAGAGGGAGATTTAACTAAGTCCTCAAAGTGGGAAATAGGTTGGATAGAATGATAGTGGAGAGAGAGAAAAAAGAAGAAACAGAAAGAAAAAAAGAGACGAAAAAATAAAAAACAATTAAAAATTAAAAAGTGAAACACTTGAAAATTATGCAAATTAAAAGCATAATATTCAGAGAAGAATGTCAATATGATAAGAGAAAGGGATGGATAGATAGGAGACATGAAAAACTTAAAAATAAAAATGCTTAAAATATTATATAAGTATAAAGAGGTAGTACTGGTATTAAGGAATTTAAGTCTAAGAGGTTTTGAATTGTGTAATAAATTTCTGGATTAAGTGTGTACACAATGGGGGATAAGGTCTAATAATCAACTATGGGTATATCTGAGGATGAGCAGAAGAGCAATTAAGTCATACAAAGAAGAAAGTGAAGAAAAAGTGAAAACAATGAGAAGGAAAGAAAAAAGGGTCAAAAGGTCAGTAGAGCTAAACAAAAAAAAAAATTATAAAAAGCAAAAAAAAAAGCACACACACATATATCCCTAAAATAAAAGTTATAAAATTATAAGTGGAAACAAAGTTAATGGAAAACAAAATTTTTTAAAGTTAAAAATTAAAAAAAGTTTTAGAAATTTTTTTTTATAAAAGGTACAAAAAAAGAGTTCTTTGATTTTTTGGGAGGGGATGGGAATATCCTGTATCTTCCTTGTGTCCGTAACCAGTCTCTTGTTGGAGAGTCTGGTCTGCTTGTAGTGTTTGATTATCCTGTGGATTGTTTAGTTTCTTAAGTCAGTTTGTTTGAGCAGGCAGAAAAATGCTCTGCTTTACCCAGGATTTTGTGATCCCAGGTTAGTTCAATGGGAGGGAGATCTGCTTTGAGTATCACAAAAGAGGGAGATGGCTGTTTCCTCTAGTTTGGAGATGCTGTGTTGAGGCCTGGTTCTGGGTAGAGTTGAGACCTTTCAGCAAACAGTAGCTTTTCTCTGAGAGGATAGCTTCTGAGACACTCACAGAGCCCAGCCTAGGGCCATTCTCAAGGTTTATGTTTACTGAATTTCAATTGATTGTCAAGGGAGGGGCAGCCTCTGGCTCTGTTTACCCAGTGAAGAAAGCCACCCCTGGGGCTGGTGGCTTGGGCTGGGTGACTTTTCCCTGGGTGGAGCTAAGCCTGACAGGTCAGGTTAGGTTCCTATGACCTGCTAAATGGCTCTTTTGTTTTCTTCCAAGGCCTGAGTTGGAACTAGCTGCTCAGCCAGGCCTTTGTCAGTATCCAAGATGGAGATCTCTGGTACTGGGGGGGGGGGGTGGCCTTCCCTCCTCTTCTCCCTGTGAAGAAGTGAAGATGTCAGGCTTCTACTCACACAGGAGTTTTGGTTCTTGGGTTGTCTCTGGTCTGCGAACTGTAGGATGAAGATGTCTGCTCCTTGTTGGTTCTTGCTTGTGTTGAGCAGAATCCACTTGCCCGCTGTGTCTGGCACCTTTGTCCCAGACTCTCTGTGTTGCAGGTATGGCAGCTGCTGCTGCTGCTGCAGCCACAGACAAGGCTGCTGGCAAGTGCTCAGATCTGTCTCCTTGCCTGGATTTTCCCTCTCTGGCCTAACTCTCTGTACTGTGATGGCACACTTGGTGTGATTTTCTGTTCACTGGAGCACTAATACTGCTTTCTATGGGAGAGCTTGTTTAGCCTGCAACTTCTCCTCTGCCATCTTCCCGGAACTCCCAGAAAAGATATTTTTTAAATGATGGTCCCAAGGTGGGACTCAGTGACTCACAGCTCTAATCTGACCTTCCCAGGAGGTTGAGATCTGAGGACTGAGGTTCTAAGCCAGCCCAAGCAGGATAAAGAGTCTTTGAAACTCTTTATCTCCAAATAACAAGCAAAAAGTGGGAAGTGAAGCTGTGGCTCCATGTGGTAGAGTATCAGCCTGGACCAAGGAAGCTAAAAGACTGATCCCAGGCTCTGAATTCAAGTCACAATAGCAGTATAAAAAAGTGTAAAGACAGAAATAGTTTATACAACTGGGCAACAACGTTTATGATTTAAGCAGTGTTATTACAAAAGTCAAAAACATTCAACCAACTTAGAAGTTTTATGAAGCAAAAATGTCACATAGGCCAAAGTTAATTTAATATTGTGAAAGAAATTTTGTTATAATCTCAGTGCCACCAAAGTGTAGTGTTTACAAATCCCTGGGTGTGTGGAGTCACTGGCCTTTCTCATTATCATGCAGACTGGACCAGAGCCGCTTCCGGCTTTTTTTTTCCTTTTTGCTTATGTGGTGCTGAGGAATCGAACCCAGGGCCTCGGGCATGCAAGGCAAGCGCTCTACCACTGAGCCACCTTCCCAGCCCCAAGAGCAAGTGTCTTGAGTGCTATTCAAGGCAATTGTTTGCATGGATGGGTCTTTTAATACCATATTTTTCCTGTACATTTTCTATGTTTAGCTACACACTTACCATTTTATTAGTCACCTGTATTATTCAACACACTTAACTTATAGTTTAGGAGTACTAGCTGACAGGGCATAGTCCACATATAAATTGGGCTATGCTCTACAGGGCTGTGTAATCATGCTTACACAATGAGCAACAATGAAGTCAGCTATTGGTGCATTTCTAAGAATGTAGCTCAGTCACTAAAGATACATGACTCTATATTGGAAGTCTTGTATCTTCCTGGTACAAGGACATTTTCTATCTTTATGTAAAGACTTTCCTTTGTATTATGTAACATTGTATCTCACAAGATAAACACTTGTCAAATCTCAGTGGGTGGTGAGGTGAAATGTTTGCATTTCATTGTACATGAGGAATGACTCCATACATGGGAAAATGACCCAATAATGTGGCAACAGAGACTCTCATTGATTATTAGTGGGAATGGAATTGTTATCACACTTTAAAAAGTTACCGGAAATGCTTGACAAAAATGCACTTAATCATCTGCCAAGAGCAAGATTTACTACTCTCCAATATGCATCCATCAAAAGGGAAATGTACAGACAGACACACAGACATATTTAGATATAGGTTCCAGTATAGGAATAAGTAGCTGCTTTTTCTAGATGCATTAATATTAAGACTATATAAAAAGACATAATTCATTTGTTTCCTCCAAGCAGAGGAATTGTGATTTAGCAAGGGAATGACTAAAATATATTTTTTCTAAAATTTTAACATTAGCCTTACTAATGTATTAAGTATCACATTACCAATGCTATACTGATGTGAAGCAAACAGCACTCAAAACACGAATACAAAGCCAGTGCCAGTGGCTCAAGCCTGTAATCCTAGCTACTCAGGAGATTGAAATCTGAGGACTGTGGTTCAAAGCCAGCCGGGGCTCCAATGGCAGTGAGACTCTTGTCTCCAATTAACCACCAGAAAAGCAGAAGTGGCCCTGTGGCTCCAGTGGAGAGCATTAGCCTTGAGCTCAAGGAGAGTGTCCAGGCCCAGAGTTTAAGACCCACACCACCACCACCACCACCACCAACACCAACAAAACCCATATGAATACAACACCATATTATTTAAACACATATGCATAAAAGATTAACAGGAAATCAATGACAAACATATCACTGTGGTTATAGAGTTCTGAGTTTATTGTTTATTTTCCTTTTAACAGCTTATGATGCATTGCAATTTTGATTATATAATTACAGTGAAAAATATTAAAATTTAAGTTTCCAATGAATTTTTTCTCTGATGTTTTATTTGCAGATGTATTTTTAATTAAAAAAGGCTTCAGTAAGCATCGGGACAACTGGCTCATTCTGAGCTTCTACATTTTCCTGCCATTCTTCATAACTTTTGCCATTATGATCATGAAGAGACATGAAGCAAGAAAAATCATGCAGCAGAGGGAACAGAGAGTATGAGGGGTAATTAGAACTCATGTGGTTAAATGGCTATGGACAGCTGTCACCAATGCCTTCCTCCATTAAAACATGTTACTTCACTCCTAAATATGCACCATCTAAATTTAATGTAAATGGTGCTCCTACAATTTTCCTAGAATTTGTTGTTAATATCTTGGGAAAAGTAAAAAAGAAAAATTGTTTTCCCTGGAACATTTTTTGGTAAGTGTGCCTCATCGTATTGAGAACTTAGTAAGTCAGAGAAGAAATATCCAATGCATTATTTTAGCTAGTTTCCTTCACTTAGATATAAATGTAATGAGTTGATTTCCTTTAAGAGAAAAAGTTTCCCAATCGAGGAATTTATTAAAACTTTTATTTATTTTTAATTTAATTTAATTTTTTTGTGAACATACTGTACAGAGGGGTTACAATTACATGGGCAGGATAATGCGTACATTTCTTACCAAGCATTGCAGCCTCCTCTTTG